CCCCAAAACCCCAAAACCCCAAAACCCCAGGGATAGTGGGAATTATTGAAATACTTACGCTAAGATATTAAGCTGCGGCTGTGAGGGGGTTTAAAGAGCGTAGTACATTTTGGGTTAGAGATTAGGAGATTGATGGAATCAGTGCCAGGGTGACAAGCGAAGGACTGTAGTAATGTAGCTACTTACTTTAATAAAGACTTTATGGTCTATATATGTGACGAGCATTGACAGCCTAGTCAAAGAGAGAACTGAGTGAAACTTGGTGGCAAGACTGAGATAGAAGAAGTTGAGGAAGCACTTGAAGTTCTTAAGATGTGTACTAAAAACTTTTTAGTTGCGGTAAAATCTAGCAATTACCAAGACATGAAAGAATACAATATCGCTGCTGAAAAGATCCATGAGAAGATCATAGAAGTCTCAAAGGAATTCGAAAACACTAAAGAAAACCAAGAATTCAAAAATCATGCGGACATTAAACTTAAGATTAAAAGTTTATACTGAGAGCTGGAAGAGGATGCCACTTTTAACCAATTTTGTAGAGAGAGTTACTTCTCTATGATGTGAGACTTCTTGAAAGCCAATAAATCTAGCATTAGCAAATTATTTGAAGGAAATCTTATAAAACAAGACGAGAATAGCAAATACGAAAATGATTTTGCTACAGAAGAACTTCAGCTGCTAAAGAAAGAATTCAAAGACTTTAAAAACAAAGTCATTAATTATTTAAATCCAAAAACAATAAAAGGACTGAGGTGATGCTATGAACTCATTACAGACAAAAAGAATGAAATTGTGAAGAAAGAAGAGCTCGATCTTAATGTGAACGATTCTAAAGATCAAGAATTAATGAAATTAATGGAAAATAATATTTGCTCGAATTTAAAGACTTTATACATTAATAAAATCAATAACAGCATCCATATTGCTAAAGAGTTCATATTCTCTTCATTTCCTCTAAAAACTGCAAGATTTGATTTTTAATAGCTCAGGAGCAGTCATAGATAGTGATCAGATTATTGATGTTTTTTGATATGTTAGCTCCAAAGTAACAACAACTTTCTTCATCTATGGTTGTGGGATCGACAAAATTCAATTAAAAACAATCTTTCGAGTGGTAGCACATAATAAGATAAACTTTGGCTTTTCAAATTGCAAGATTAAACTTGATGTTGTTCCAAACTTGAAAAGCTGTCTTATTGGTTCCACAATTCAAGCATTATCTCTTTCGCGTTGAAGAGTTCCGCATTATTGAGATTAGAGAAACCATCCGGAAAGGTTTCAAAATTTAATAAAAGGATTATCTCAAAGTGAAGACTTTAAGAAAAACTTGAAGTTTCTTTATATGGAGGGATGAGGAATGACCGAAGATAGCATAAGACAAATACTAGATAGTAACGGTTTTGATAAAGTCAAAATTGAGAACCATTCAGAGTAGGATAAGAACTTTTGTAATTAATATATATATTTCAACTAAATGCTGCCAATTAGGGGTTTTGGGGTTTTGGGGTTTTGGGGTTTTGGGG